GAGAAAGTATTAATTTCAAAATTATAATATAAAAACGTTTTCTATCAGATCTCCTAATTAAACTATCATTTGGATACCACATGTGACGGAACAGACGGCTCTCTTCCGCCCACTGGCTCATACTACATACATAGTATGATATGACGGCTCTTTTGGACCTTCCTTTCACAGCTTAGAGCCCTAGCTCTATAGCTCTAGACCTAGGTATCTTACGCCTAGGACCCTTTCACCCTTTTGGGCCTAGCCCTTATGGCTCCCAATACCTGTATATATAGTCCTCCTTTTAGCATCCTACATAGCTCTTCACTTGTAGATTCTAAGTACACAATCGGAGTCCTGTTTATACCCTTTTGGTCACACCACATAATACAAAGCTAATAATTTTAAATATTCTTTTTATAAACTTCAAACTTATTATTTTAATTATTTTAGTTAAGTAGAACTATTTATTACTTTTACAATATAAATAGAAAACCATAATAATGGAGTTAATAATTATAATAAGATTATAAACAATTTGTTTATAAAAAGATATATAAGATTATATTTTTTTTGAAAAAAAAGATAATATAATAAAACAAATAATTTTCTTTTATTTACTAATTTATATTATATACACAATATAATATAACAGTTTTTTTTAAATCCTTTTTTTTATAATTTAAAATCTTAGTTTTATAATTCTAGATTTAGGTATTATATAATATTTATTTTTAAAACTTTTTCATTTTTCTGGATTTAGCCTTTATAACTTCCAAAACATCTGTATATATAGTCCTTCTTTTAGTACCCTACATAGTTCTTCACTTATAGATTCTAAGTATATAATCGGAGTCCTATTTATACCCTTTTGGTCACACAGGGCCTGAATACTCTTCCTTTGGCTCCATTTAGTAGCTTTTTTCGACCTTGCAACATCTTACTCCTTCCATTTGAACAAATCGCATTACTTCATCAACACAGTCAAACAAAACCCTGCAGATAGACCTGCCACTCACTCAGCACTTCAAGAACTCTACACTAGTGCAATAGACTTAAAGATTTTCAAGGTCTTTTTGCAACACTTCCAAGGATCTCCTCGATTATTGCATCAAAGATGTCTTTGTCCAAACTATCGAGGGTCGGAGGATCTAGGGCCAACCCAAATTTTAACTATCAGTTACCGGTCCGAAACAGAAACCACAAGGGCTATGTTATCATTCCAAATTTTGATACAAGCACAGGTCCGATCAACGAGAGGCTAGCCATTGCCAAGAACTCGGAATGCCCAAGCTTACTAAAAGTAGCAGGACATCTTACCAAGGACGAAGATGAGTCTATCTTGTATCACGAATTGGAAAGTGGCCAGCCATACTACGTTGCGGCAGGATCTGAAGACGATAACCCAGTCTTTACTTGTCAATATTTCGGCCAAAAGGATGTTAAGGCAATCACACCCGCATACGAGGCCATGAAGGAGGCTCGCGAGATAGCCCACCGCAAGGGCACAGGCCCAAAGTCCCGCCCCGACGTCTCCGAATTTGAGCAGCGGATGATCGGTTCCAAAACTCGGCTTGCTGATAGAAGAGCTTACCCCCAAGGGTTTACCGTTACTCTACAGCAGGATGCGATTTGTGCGGCTCCGATAAACGCGGCAATGATAGAGAATGCCGAGTCCACTGGGAGACTTAATCAGCTCATCGCGATTGCCGCTAGTCATCTTCTAGCCAGCTGCGCCCCCAAAGAGTTACTAGATTTTCTTACTAGACAAGCTGAGTCTGCTGTTCCTCTGACATTCGGAGACGAGGGGAACAAATTCTTTTGTAAGAAAATCCCATTTACTGCTACTACTTCCACTGCTGACGTTTATTAGCAATTGTACAATACAATTACTCGGGTGCAGATATAGATTCTTTGGAGCTCGCTATCGGAGATGTTGGAGCCCTGCATGTAGATGGGTATGACGATCCAACACTGTGGACTGTTTTATTGATATTGTCGAATATACCCAAAGGGTACTGGCCTGGTCGCACTTTTGTCTTGTCACTCCGTGTTTACGCTATAATGGGCCCTATGACGGCCATAGTCTTCAAGGCGGTCCATCCGCATATTAGCTTGGGACCGAGTCCCATGGCCGACTTTAGACGCGCACCGTACAGAAATTATTTGTCGGACGATGTTTTGATCATGGACCCTGAATTGTACCACCAAAGTCGATTGGCGGCTGTGTGCTACCCCAAGAAGGCGATTATGCGTAAATCTCCTGCTCTAATCCGTCGATCAACACCAGCAATTCTTCAAATGACCAATGGGCTTCGTAGCAGTCTACCAGAAGCACACCCTGTTGCAATTGCGGCTTTCGGAACTCGAAGAAACCAAATGGAATCCTTGGCCAGATTAGAAGCCCACGATATGTGCACACAAGTGTGCATTAACACAGCTTTGATTATGCCTTCGGCTAATTGGTTCGCAGAGAAATGGCGCTGGAAAGAGAATGGGGTGATTATGACACCAAGAGTATCCCGAATTCAGGCTGTTATAGACGGACATGGCAAAGAAAACGAATGGTATACAGCGTACAAAGCTAAGTGCGAGGCTGTTCTCTTAATGACATGGTTTCAAGGCAAAAAAAAGGGAGAAAGCGTCTGGGTTTCTACTGAGAAGGTAGGATCGACGTTTACCGATTCGGATCCCTCTGTACCAACCGCTGCCGAGCGTCGAGGGGACTTCAACAAAAGGGACCCAAAAAGAAATAACGCTAAAGAGCACAAGCGAAAGTACGGCAATCGACCATTCAAGTGTCCCAGTTGCGAAAGTCGATAAGTCACGAAGCAGCAGTGCAAGGCCCACCATGACCGAAAACACAAGGCCTCATATGAATGGCAATTCCCTCTACCATCGCTTGATCCGACACATCAAGAGCTGACCGAACCAGCAAGCGACGAGGCTGAAGGGATAGGTGGACCTGTGGCAGAGACGAGTCTGGAGGGATCTTCTGAGGAGGAGCCACCTTTTGTGAGGAGGAGGAGAAATGTGGGGATATAAAGCCTTCGAGATAGTTGCTGCTATCTACGGGATACCTTGAATGGCATCTTGCACAGTCCATTTTTGATAAATGCGAAAACTCACACTACCGAGCAAAACAAGGCCTTATCTTAATATCTAGAGGTACACAAATACCATTTGGTAATTCGCAGAAAGAATGTCACGGTCACAAAAATGACCTTCGGAGAACCAAGAATTTCTTTGCAGATTTGACAATGATGGGAGCCTTAACACCACCTTTCATAGTTTAGATAATTTAAATGACAAAATTGGGAGTTTCTGGTCTACCAAACATCTCCTAGCATACCGTGTCCTGATAAAAGATCATAGGGAGTGCTAGAAATCAGGCTTAGCATGAGTGTTTGTAGACACAAATGAATAAAGAGCTCTGTTTAGATCAAGTTTAATCATGCTTCAGAAATACATCATTCCACTGTTATGCATATAATTTTAGCAAGTGTCATTAAGAGATTTTGACATAATGATGTTATGAATTGAAGTCAGGCCCATCTAGATCCTCTATGATCTCACCGGGAGCTCACCGGGACTTTTTCAACAAATATATCTCAAAATTCGAGCTTTCCTTGGAGAACGTAAACTCACTGCCCATCGCTATTCGACGATTTAACTTGGCATTGAAGCTCTTTGGGTACAATGAGGTGCCTCATTCCATTTTGATTTGTTTTCTATATACAATACTTTATTTTCACCAGGAAACTATATGTTTTTTGACTTATTATTAACCGAAGACAATCTTCAATCCCTTTATCCCATATGTATAACGGCCACATATCAGCCTATTAATACTCAACTAGTACACAAGGCTTTCAGAGCTCTCAAGTATGAAAGAAGCATCTTATCTCTTTCTATTGGACTATTCATATATAATTATTAGAAGCTACTGAAGAAGCTTCGTGCTTCAGACTTATTCCTAAACGATAACATACCTCTATCCCTCTTTTTCAGCGTGTATAATGCTGATATCTTAGCCTATTCATACTAGATAAATGCACCAGAGCTCTAAAGCTCTCGCAGAAGGTATCACACTCGTAGATTATCTATATATGAGAAAATACCCCGAACATCGAAACTTCTCTTATACAATAGAGAGATCTTAGTCAATTCATACTCGAGTATACGATGATTAGATCCGATCTACAAAGCTTCTACACGATAACTCTGCTCGCAGCTTGACAGTATATAGTAATATACTTTAGGCACTCGGATTCCTATTGCATAATCAACGATATGTTTTTCCATCTTACTGGATTATTACACCCGATTTTCAAGACTCTTATAGAAGCATTCTATTCGTAGCTTTTCAGTTGGTGATAATATACCTGAACATTCAAGCTTCTCTTGTATGATACAGATGTATTGTTCTATCTCTACTAGATAGAATATCTCCGATCCCTGATCTCCTCACATACACTAGCACCCATAGCTCCTGACTTACTACCAATCGAAAATATACTAGTAAATCTAAGATCCTAGATTCATGGGATATGATTCCAATTATACTATATGGAATATATCCGATTTCCAAGTTTCTCTCGCTGAGCACTCTATTGACGACTAGTCATTATTAGGTCATAGATCATAAACGTCCAGATCTCCCTCCAACTAGAGGTCAATATTACTCGGTGTACTCTTGATAAGATAGATCCAATCTTCTGGATCCTAAGAACAGAAACGCTATTCACATTTCACAAATGCTAGTATCCGATGATATACCCTCAGCTCAGTCTTCGGGAATCCTTTTCGAGCTCATACGCAAGAAACTTTTTGAAGAAAGATATCTTCAGATTACTTTTAGAGAACATATGCGAGTTGCTTAAAGTCTTCTCAGATTAAACACTGGTATGAGTGAGATGATATTAACCTATAATGGTTATGGCAATCAACGCGAAGACGGCAGCCGGCTTTGTCGGAGTCTCAACGCATTCCTGGAACACATGCTATTGAAATTCTTTGGCTGCACGTCTGTTACTCTGTATAAATGCTGGAGAGAAACGGGGTTGGCGGTGGATTCTTTTCTGGACGCCAGCCTGGGTGCCAGCACAAAGAGACCTTCTTATTCCTCTCTCAATGGAATATCTCGAGATAATGATCACGTGCGCGCTAAAGAGGGTCTTAGCGACGCTAGGGCCTAGGCGCGTTCTATATAATTGCCCTCGACTACCTCCAAAAGTACGAGTAGTTCCTCAGGCAATAATAATAAACGTGCATCCGATAATACTATTGACTTCACTATCTCCATGGTGATACCAACAATATCACTTTGCGGTACCTCGATTGCTTAATCATCAAATCGTTTTCAAATGACTACTATATGATAATGGTACTATTCAGCCAATCATAATACAGCTTCGTGTAAAAGTTTTACAAAAGCCTCCCCATGATAATTCAAATTCAATTTGTCAGCTGTGCATAAAATCTTCATTCCGAAACTGTATACTCTGCACATCAACAAAAACAAACTCATCTCTTTGCAGAACAAAATTAGAGTCAACTAAGCTCAGTTCCTCCTCCATATCCCATCAACACCTATTTGTGAGTTATTTCCCATCTTGATGCATCACAATCACATGAAAGCACAGCAATACTGACACTGGCCTTTGTTTTCAAAATAATATCCTACTTTCGGACAAAACAGCAGGTGAAGTGAATTGTATTCCTAAAGGATATATACAAATCCGAAAAACTGTAAAACAAAAGAATCAAAAACAAGAAAATGTGAAGCGAAGAAATTAGAAGATCAAAGACTCGAAGTTGAATTGTAAAGAAAATCAAAGTCAAAAGTACATGATCAACAAAGTAGACCCAAATTTTCGGGGGACTAGTATTATTTCGAACAAGCCGTCAAAATAAAGACAGGGTATCCTAAAGCCAGTATGTGCGTAGCACACCCCAAATTTATAATACCGGTGTGGGCTTTTCGATATATACTCGGTCTTCAACACTCAGATGATATATGCCAATATTATTCAACGTGCAATAATAACGGTTTGCATTGGCCAGATCTACCCGTGGTCTACATCTAACTAAGTTCCAGCGACACCAATTTCGTCACAGGACTTGACATCCTCCTACCCCATTCTAACCACGGTTTGCGTTTAGATATGATCCTATTATTCATCAGTATTATGCTGAGGAATAGGCGGAACGTGATTCAAGAGGGCGAATGTGTCAAGTCGAAGAATATCAAAGGAAATTCTTCGACGATGCTATCGCCGTCTAAGCGACCCGTCTATATTCTGAGATGGAATTTGACTCGAACCTTGTAAAGAGTCTGGGAGATGTTGTACTCCTGGCACTGGAATCTTCCCACATCGTGGACGTATGGCGGGTAATTTTCGCGACTGTCCAAAAAGCAAAGTTGTACCCGATAGATCAGGTCCAGCTGGACTGCGCATCGATTCGTAGGGCTTAACGAGAGATTCTTGCTTTGACTTTGAGTGAATTAAGAAAATGCATTCTAGTTGCAGAGCCGGTGCATCGAGAACGCCGATTTCGCAAGTGAGGTAGGATGGGGTGGACGCGGGGATGGTATAGTGCCTGGTCTTTGGGTTTTGTTAAAGCCGGGAGGTCTAAAGGAACCTAATCCTTTGAGACTGCTCATATTTTATTGAATGTTGAATGTATGTATGTGCAATATATTGTAGAGAGTTTCAGTTGAGATCGAGCTTTGGCCTTTGAGAAGCGCGGAAATATTTTGATAGCACTGGGACTCTATATGATAAGAAATGCAAGATATGGCAATTTGGTTGCAGTCCCGAACTCTCGGAGAGTAGTTATTCACGAACCTCATAACTACTTCACTAGAAGTAAGCTTAACAATGATATCATCCAGTGAAGGGGAGTTGATTCGCGTGTACGGCTTTCTGAATCACGCACGGAACGAAATGTTCCAGCCAACTGTACTTACAGTCACATAGATCAAGCAGAACGCGACCGTATAAAGTGATTCATACGAAGTTATGTAAACGTTCACAACCTTCGCAACTATGATATAAGTTCTCAAGAAAAACACAACACCACATGAGTTCAACGAAACCGGAAGACAACAAATACACAACAATATCTTACAGGCTAAACCACATCATACTTACCAAAACAAAACAAAACAACCCCGGCCGCACATCTCGAACCAAACAAGCCAAACAACCAAACCAAACCAAACAAACCAAATCAAAATGTCACCAGCAGAATGGCGATGCGATAACTCGGGAAATGTCAAGGGTTTCGTCAAGAGAAAGGGCGATTCAAACCCCCTGAACTGGGGATACCATGTGGATAAGAAGATTTTGGATCATCCAAAGATTGGCATGATCAAGACCAATGTTGCTAAGCCTGAGAAGAAAGAGAATAAGTGCGATGAATGCGTCAAGAAGGCGAAGGAGGCGAAGGAGGAGAAAAAAGAGAAAAAGAAGAGTGAGAAGAGTAAGAGTGGCGGAGGGTGTGCGGTGTCATAGAGGAATGGGAAAATTGTGCAGAGAGGGTGACGGAGGGAGGTGTGAGGATATATTGGAAGGGGAGGATGTGCATGAATAAGGGCCTATGTGTGGTAACGCGGACGGAGAGATAGGATGTATGGGATTGGGTCGCTGTTTTTTATAGGGGCACCTCCAGATTGCATAAACTGATAAGCTATTTGGGCCCCTTATTGTAGCGCGAGATATATACTAGCGTCAAGCGTCAAGCGTCAAGCGAGAAGCATGAAATGAACATAAACATCCTTTTACTGAAACTCAGGCGTAATTCCAGATTTTCATCGATCCAGCCATGAATGTGATTGTGATATTCACAGTAACCACAGCAACCATTCCAAATCTCTGCACAAAATAATCTCACAAGAACAAAAAATAACTCATGATGATGATGGCTGTTGAAGGTTGACGTGGTTACATCGCCCCTCAACCGTAAGGATGTTTCCTCCCTTGCCTCTCGTAAGAACCATGTCACATTTTAATCGTGTTTAATCACTCCCTTAGGAAGCCACAAACCTCATGTCTCAATAATGCCGATATAAAATAGAATCGGGGTTTAAGTTCGTGAATAGACTGCGATCTATTGAGCTAATCAATTTTCGTGTTTTCATCTGCGAAAGCGGCAGTGAACTCTTTACGATATAGTTTCCTAAGAATGTCCGAGGAGTCATGAATCATCCATGTATAACTTTCCGTTTTTGACCTTAGATTTGAACTTCAAAAGTTATATGATACCGTCTTTGTGTTTCCATCTTTGCTTTTCCTATAAAGTATTAAACGTCCTCACTTAAGAGACCTCAAAATTAGCCCAATATGTCTGTCGCTGCTCTGTGTAAAATAGGCACTTGCCCCCTCGAATATGTCATGGTGCATTACCTACCGACTTTGTTCGGCAATGTGTTTTGCCTTGGCATATTTGCTGCTCTCATCATCATCCATATCATCTAGCTTCAGCGTCGGAAGCGTGGAGCTTTTCGTGGTGTATAATCAGCCGAGTGATCCTCCAGTGGTTGCTTACCTTGGCAGAATCCAGATGCACTATAATCATTTCGCTTCAAATCCATTCTTAATTTACTCGAGTACGTTTTTCAGGATTCTCCAGGGACGCCGTTGTACTGACCCATTCAAGCAAAATTCTGATATGCGTAACAATGGCACCGGTCTTCTTCACGGTATCGATATCTATGACTTAATCTCGCATTATTTTCCACTGTGGGCATCATCTGTCCAGGTTCAGCCTCTGTAACTTTCATGGTTGCTGACTGGATCGCACTTATCCTGCAAGCGGTGAGTAGAGCGATTGCAGATACCGCAGTGACAGAAGATGCTATGAATGATTGGACCCATATCTTGGTCGCAGGATTGAATACTCAAGTACTGAGTTTGGTTCTGTCAATGTTGATAGTAAGAGTGTATTTCTTCAAAGTAAAGGGAAGAGATTGATTGATTGATT